AACTTTCTAATTTAAATTATAATAATTATTAGGATTCACATTAGGGTTTCCCACAGGATTTTGGCATAGTGCTCAGCAATCTTGTCAGTGGAAGATCAAAATTTTTGACAAAATATCCCGTACTGGTATTTTGTCAAATTTCATGAAACATGGCAAGCATAGAATTCTTGTTAAGTTTTCAATACACATAATTATGTAGAGAGTCTGAACTGATTCTGATCAAAATTAGATTTTAAAATCAAACTTAAAAGTTGGCTCAAAAATGACCTAAGGCCAAATTTTGTCAAAAATGCCTCCAAAAAGTCTCCATTTTAAAAGTTTTTCTCATTCATACACATGTACATAGTCTTATGTGTGTAGCAAGTTTGAGTTGATTCCATTATAGTTTAGCTCACTTAGCATTCATTATAGGAACCCAGATTCACATACCTTTTCCTCTCTTTCTTTATTAATTGCATCTCCTCCCTTGAGTGTCTCTGGTGTCACCACTAGACAGTTGAGACCACTATCCCATCCTGCTGGTCCAAATACATCAGTGATTGGAACAACCTCCAACTCAAGCCCACACTTCACATCACGTAATATACTCTCCACTTTCCTTATGCGGTAGTCAATTGGTTTTATTAATTCCCCGAGAACCTTTTTAGCTAGTAACGGCCCGTCAGCAATACCCACTAGTACCCTCTTGGTTGCTATGAGTGCTGCTGTCGTTAGCAAAAGGAGGTGACCAATGTGAATAGAATCAAAGGTACCGCCCAAAGCAACGTCACTGTGTGGCGTAATGGTTGTAGGTGTGGCTAAAGGAGTGGCATCAGGGCCGGGAGGAAGAGGAGAAATGGTTTTGAAAATTGATTGCAAGTGCTCGTCGGTACGAATTGAAATATTTGAGTATTCGGGTAATCCTGATATTGCATTAAAGTCTGTCTCAGGAGAGAGGAGAGCATCAAGAGTGTTGCTAAGAGGAAAGGTGGTAGGTGTGGCAGGAGGCGTGGTCGGTGGAAGGATGACCCTCAAGTCAAGATTTGGTTTAATACATGACAGGGTGAAGTAAATCCTGTTTATTCTGCTTGCAAGGTCAGTTAATGGCTCTTCAACGGAAAGAGGAGCTAGTGGGACGTATAATACATCACGTACGAGAGCAGCAGCGGCTGTCAATGAAGGAACTAGCTGCTTAGGACTGGAGGACCCCTTCACAATTAGAGCACCACACCTGTACATTTTAATTATTGTGGGTGTGGTTTAGGTTATAATAGAGTAGATTTATTAATAGGCTATCTAGTTATTAATAGTTATTAATAATAAAATGGCTACCGCCAGTACTCATAAATCTCATATTCCTACACCATCTCTGGACTCTCCTGCCTTTGTGTCGACCAGGAGACATCAGATTTTACGTCCACTTTTATTTCCAGAGTCCCAAAGTACAGATTTGTCTTGTTTTTATGAGGAGAAGAAGGATTTACCCATTCCTTGTCTGTTGTGTGAGATGGAATTTATTGATTCTGATCCATCGATTATCAGTGAGAGCAGTACTAGTAAAACTAAAAAAGAGAAAGATTCAGCACGACAGAGATTCCTCTATCACATGCTGACAAAGCACAATATTGTGATACACGGAACAGAAAATATTACAAGTTTTAAATGGTATGTATGTACATGTATGTGTCACTTATATTAGACCAAGAGTGGATAATTATCCACTCTTGATTAGACTCATTAGTGCCTTACCTTATATGCATGTATCATTTTTGCTTATGTTTACATTCTTTTAATTATTGAGTGATAATTTTTTCTGGCTTACTAATTTATAGTTATGCCAAATATTGGAAGGAAAGGCTACTCTCCCTTCCTCATGAGCGATTATCTGACATCTTCCCAGTTATCCAGACTAACCCCGAAACAAGAAATGGTAGAAATGTAAAGAATGCATGGAATGTGCGTCCTATCAGTGTTTGTATTGTAGATCTTCCAGAGAGATACTTTCTGTTCAATGACTCTGTTCCTGAAGACAAGGACTTGAGAGAATTTTTAAGAATGAAAAGATTAGTGCGTACTACATCAACAATCTCCTGTCTATCTTCTTGTATTCTTTTAGGAGGCTTTGCTGGAATTACAACATTTTGAGAGAACAGACAATAATTTTAAGCGACTCTGTTTATTTTGTCATGAGACTTTCACGGGGAACAGATCTGTACTATTGGAACACTTGTTTGAATCCCATAGCTTCAGGATTGGAAAACCAGACAATATTGGTACTGCATATTACACTTTATCTATTACTTATACTACATATATAATTCCCTTTAGTTATGATAGACAAATTTCTCGATTCCTTACAAGAAAAGCTTGAAAAGTAACAGTACTATCATCACTTATTGTCATCATTGCACTTAGTCTTCAGTGCCTTTACTGTGAGAGGATGTTCAGGGACTATGGTACACTCCGTGATCACATGAGAAAGAAATATCACAAGAAAATAAACCCAAAGAATAAAGCATACGACAAGTTTTACATGATAAATTATTTAGTGAGACATTTTGATTGTGTACATTATTATGAGTTTAAAATAGGAAGAAGGTAAATCATGGGAGGATATAAGCAAAGAGACTGATCAGTTACAAGAAGATAACGAGGAGGAAACTGAAGAAGAGGATAGCGAAAAGTAAATCATACTGGGGGATGGTCCACTGGCGTGTATCATTATATGTGTGTGACTCTATGTATGCATTTGTAGTTTATAAACATTGTGTGTGTATCATGCTATGGTTGTTTGTTGTACTTTGTTTGTTTATATATCCTTATTAATGCTGTTTTAGTTAAAACTTAGTTAAGCATTTTACATGTCGTTAATAAATGATATACATGTACATGTAGGCTCTAACTATTTTGTAACCACTAACATGTACATGTATAATCCTTATATGAAAATAGTTGGAGTGACTGGGCAGAGCTAATGTCTTCGAGTATAACTTGTTTATTTTGCTCTCACACTTCCTCTTCACTTGATGACATAAACAGGCACATGACTGTGAGTTGAAATCATACATAAGCAAAAGTCTCCTTTTAAATAATATTCACCACCTTTCTCTTTCTCTCTCTTAGGATAGACATGATTTCAATCTTGAAGAGGTCACACGTGAAAGAGATTACTACTCAAGAGTGAAAATAATCAATTACATCAGGAGACAGGTACATGTATATGCATGTAGATTGCATTAAATACAATGTAGTATCATTTCATTTTAATTGTATTTATAAATGGCTCTCTTGTCTCTGACAGAGCTACACAGCTGTATTTTATAGCACCATTAAGACATCTGTTCTATTTATAGGTATACAATGGCATATGTATTCATTGCTGCTCTCGATACGAAGATGTTATTGATCACATGAATGACTGTAATCATTTTCGGCTGCCAGATGACAGGAATGTATGGGACCAATCCCAGTGAGTTCAGGATAGAGAATAGGGACAAGTGAGAGGGTTTAAAGTTTAAAACTTTTATTAGATATTTCTTTCCGACTTACGAGAACGACCAGTTACTCTGCGTCATTGAAGACGAAACAACTGTTAGTTAATAAAATTATCAAAACAGGCAGATTCATGGACAATAATAATTGAAAATAAATAATTACAATAATAATAATAATGATTAGTGGTTCATAATAATGATTAGTGGTTCATAATAATGATTAGGGCGTGTGTACATGTAAAAATGAATGTACACTGAGGGGGTAAGACCTTTCTCATGATTAGTGAGTGGTTCAATGTAATGTCACAGTGTTATATTTGGAACGTATTCCAATATTTTTCCAGCCGCACTTATTGTTTCGAAAAGATTTGATATATCTTCCGTAAATTTATCAATTTGAATTGGGATGTCTTGTAATTCTTGGCGCTCTTTTTCCTTTTCTTTCGTGAGTGGTAAGAGTTGCAAGTCCTCCAATTTCAGCGATATGTCAGCCATTTTGAGTTCTCTGCTTCCAAGGAACTTGTGACACAGACTGACGAGGGAATTAAAATGTTTGATGGCCGCCTGTATATTATCTGGTAGCTCCTCCCAAGACGATCCATTCTCAATCGTCAACTTGCGTGGTCCGTCTGATGTATTTATCAACTCCAAGTTGTTCGTAGCTTCTTTGAGTATCTCAAAACAAGACAACATTGTTGCAGCTTGGGTCAGACCTAGAGCCATTCTGAAAAGGAGGAGCGAGTTGGTGATAGAGCTTCTCAGTATTTCAAGTGGCTTGTTCATGTTCTTTATTTGTGTGGCGATGTTATCGAACGAGCTCTCTGCTTGGGCCTGCTCTCTTAATGCAAGTTCTGTTTTACTCGTGCATGGCTCCTCCTCATCATTGTAACAACGCTCCCCTGCCTCTGACCAAGGCTCCACGGGTTTCTCTTGTAGCGAGGACAAGAAACCATTTCCCTGGCCGTCAGTATGGTCTCCAGGCGATTCGGTCCTCAGAGTATGGTATTTCGTTCTCACTCGTACCTTGAGGAGGTAAAAAAAGGTTTTGAAATTATCTTGTAACCTTAAGAAACATGACTTCTCACCTTGAGTCTGCTGCAAATCGCTCCCATACCTCTTTCCAACTAATTAATGTTAATTAAATAATAGTTAATTAATTTAAATGAATTTTAGTTATAACAATGCACAAAGACACAATGGTATAAAAATAAAATGCTTGCTTATACTTTTACTATTTTATACAGCTGAGTAGTTTTTGCCCTGATTAGACCTGTCATTATAATAATAATAATAATAATTTAATTTTAGAATAGTTAATCTTTTCTATTGTGGTCTCAGAATGGGTTGAGCTTTGTATATGTCTTGCAATAATACCCCAATATCTAACGATAGCTCCTCTATATAGGATGGGATCTCATTGACGGCTGCATATAACAACTGTCCCTCTTTCGTCAAAGGCATTAGCTGAAGATCCTCTAGTCGTACTTCAATATCTACTAACTTCAGCTCTTTCTCTCCAGTAAACTTCTGGCAATGATTGAGACAGGCGTTGAGGAGAGTGATGGCTTTCTTTGCTCCTTCATCAACTGCTTTCAAATGATCGGATGGCGTCGAGAAATCGTTTATTTTCATTTTGATTGGCTCCGTTCCGGCACAAATGAGCTCCAATTGTGTCGTTGAGCTAAACTTCTCTCTTAGTACCTTGAAGCAGCCTGGTATGGCTGCAGTCTCGTAAAGGCCTAGTGCTTCTTTGAAACCCACTAGTGTTTTCCTTATCCCTTCCTTACGGACTTCAATGGGTTTGTACAGCTGGAGTACGTTAGATACAATGGAGTTTATCTCTTCATAGCGATCCCCAGACTCTAGTAGGGTGACTTGCACTGTTCTTGCTGTGAAGAGAGGTCCCTGCTTCCTCTTTGGTTGTTCCTGGTCTTCTACATTTGACTGGTTCTCATCCACATTGCTTGATAATCTACTAGAATAGGAAAAATCAAAGACGGGGTTGGTGAGAGCAGTCTCCTGCTGTTGCTCATCGCTTGATGATTTTGCCAGCAAATTTTCATAACTGCGGCCATCCTAAAAGAAACATCATACCATAGTATCTATGATCATACCTCCTCAGGTTACATTACACTTACCGCTCTCCAACCTCTAAAAAAACTGATAATGCCTCCCATCACCACAAGTTTACTCAACACTTTGCTGTGCAAATTCTTGACGGATGTGCGTTCATTTATGGGGTATACGGACCAGGTATACAAAAATTTCCGTGTCGAGTTGGGCGTGGTCATGTAGACTAAACCCCTCCCCTTTGTGCTTTTGTGTCACGCCCAAGCATGGCAACCTCACGTATGACCGATAATTCTCTCCCTAACGTAGGGATTATCGGTACTCCAGATCAGATCACCACTATAATTCCTATACTGACTTCCCAAGGCTTTTGTGTTAAGGCAATATGGACGCAGTATCCGGCAGTTACGAAGAAGCTAGCCGAGAGATTCTCTGTCCCACACATCCCGCCCACTTTCAAGTCTCTTCTTCTTTTACATGACGTCGATTTGGTCTATGTAGCTACCGAACCACGGCTACAGGCTGAAGTGACCGTTAAGGCTCTAACGTCAGGGAAGCACTGCGTGTCAATGGAGCCACGGTCCGTGGCTGAAGTGGAAAAGATGCTCTCCCTTGCCCGCTATTACTCTCAACTGGACTCCATTATGGAGACTCACATGAGATTCATACCCACTTTCACTAAACTAAAAGAACTTGTTAATTCCAAGCACATCGGGAAAATCTTTACAATTGACGTTAGACTGTCCATGGGTTCTCTCATCGGGTCCGAGCACTATAGTTGGAAATGCGACCCCTCGTTGGGGGGTGGAGCTCTTAATCTTGTTGGGTCTCACTTCATTGATCTAATCAGGTTCTTATGTCCACTGGGAGAAAACCTCATCAAACAAGTTAACTGCTTGTTGCACACGTTTGTCTGCAGTACCCATTGTATTCATGGCTACCGAACGATCGAATCCGACGACTACGTATCGCTCCAAATGAAGCTCTCAAAGTCGGTCATAGCCAGCGTTCTGATAAACTGTAATTGTGGATCTGTCTATGATCTTGAGATATTAGTTAACGGTAAGGAAGGACGAGCCATTGTCCGGGACTTTGACCTCTACTGGATGGGGTCTGGCTTGTCCGAAGAAAAACTAATTTTCAAGGAAAGAGACTCTCTGTCCGACGAGACCTCCTCTTTGGACGTTAATCCTAAACTACGCCGATCTGTTACCAGTGGGTACAATGGGCTCTTTGCTGCCATTAAAAAGCACTATGCAGAGGGCAAGACCGATCCAAGCCTTGCCAGCTTTGATGATGCGCACCACTTGAGGTCTGTGCTTGACAGTGCAAGACAGTCACACAAGTTAAGCCAGTGGGTTAATATACCAAATACATCAGGTGGAGCATCCTCTGAGACTACCAATCCATTCTGGACCAAGAAAACAGAGTTAAAGTCTGACTCGGAAAAGACATCAATAGCATATGTTTAACATCTCGGCCTCCCTCCATTCTTTGGTTTTCATATTATATAACTCTTTTTCATCACCTATTATAGCTCAAAGCAGTTCTATCTTTATAGTGCACCTTGATTTATAAATTTATATGATACTGTTAACTTAATTATTCAGAATAAGAATGAAAACCTAATTATGAGTAGGCGTGGTCAAATGCTGATAATAATAGGCGGGGGACAGGTCAAGAAATGGCTGAGGTGAGGAAGTTAGCTGAAACACTTGGCACAATCCTTTCGGCCGAGCCCTCTGACAACCAGAAGAAACTCTTTGAGGATCATATGGAATATGGTCGAAAGACCTCTGCCCTTCAGAAGATCATTAACCATCCCATCCAGCGCTACAACGGTCGAACACTGGTACACATCGCTGCTGACAAGGGACTCAGCGAATACTTAGAAAAGCTCTTACTCGAAGGAGGTGCGTATTTATTGCTTTCTTTTAAAAATTACATTAAGTGAATCATTATAGTAATTAGATATATTTGTAGTCCTAATAATATCAAGTTTTTTCTTTGACTAGGTGACCCAAACAAGCCATCTTCTGTTCCTGATTTATGCCAGGTACACACTTATACTGCATACTAGAATGTATGCATGCGGAAAATAAATATTACCGACAAAATAGAATTCTTGAGCACTTGGCGTACATGTACATCTACATGCATATGAGCACCTGGCATACACATACATGCATATCTACATGTACATATATTGTATTTACCTTGCGTCTTAAGTATTTTCATTTGCTGCAGCAATACATGTTTAAGTCATATTATACAGCATTAGTTACTATTGGAGGAATAGTGCATGATATAATTAATTGTGTAACATCTTAGGTTCACTTCTAATTCCCAAAAGTAATTTCTCCCTAAGTGAATCCTCTATATAATAATGATAATAGGATGAATAACAGTTGTTTGTTTTTAACTATAGACTCCTCTCCATCTTGCTGCTTTCCAAGGCTATGCAAAGTGCCTTCAAGTCCTAGTGAAGCATGGTGCTCAGATCAGAGTACAGAATGCACACCGTACCACACCCATTGACCTAGTAAGAGGAAAGACAGTATGCGAGAGTATACTTCAGGAAGCAATTGGTAAGACAATTGTAGGCAGTTGCTTTTAATAAAGCCCAACATACACTACACGCAACATGTTACCAGCCTTTGATCTTTCCTTCAACCTTGTTGAGACGAATAGAAAGTTTCCTATCCTAAACAACATGTTGCTTGACCACATCAAAGCATGATCAGAGGCTGGGCAAATGTTGAAAGCAACATTGTTGAATGTAGTGTATGCTGGGTGTTTTAAAAGTTATGTTACTGTTTCTGTTTTATAGGAAAAGTCGAGGTACCAAACAGGACTCAGGACCAGCTCCAGCGAGTGATGGGTATGTAATGTCTGCCCTTTTTTGATTTCATTCCTTTCTCTCTCTCTCTCTCTCTCTTTCTTTTAGATCTGCACAGGTTGATTGACCAGCAAAGAGAAGACATGGACACATTCATGTCACTCTACAGTCGCCTCTCTGCTTTAGAGACTGATTTAAGCACCAGATGGACTGACTGGTTCCAACAAACGCTCCTATACAGGTATTTGATAATTAGTACTGCTATTAAAAGTTATTATGACTGTTATAAAATATACTAAATACAAAAGAAAGATAGAGAAAACCAACAATTGCATATATTATTATCATTATTGTCATTATTATTATCATTATTATCACCATCATCACCATTACACAAATTTAGGCGAATGTTGTTTTTTATTCTATAGAGCTGCAGATAAAGATCATGTCCAAATTGTTACATTCCTCCTTCAGCAATCGCCTGCTCAGCCTCTCAGTAACCTTGGACACGGGGACACGCCTCTTATGATTGCCTGTCGACATAGCAACCTCAAACTAGTCGACCTCCTTATCAACCACTCACCAGGTCTTATTTTTATCAGCGAGGACCAGAACTCCCTCTCTCCGCTGCATGTCAGTACATCCCGTGGTGATAAAGGTATAGTTCAGAGTATGCTGGATGCTGTACAGGGCCTTTACGAGAAAGGTATCACACACAGGGACCTCAACTTGACTGATAAAATTGGCCGGACTCCTTTTTACAATGCTTGCTATCACGGGCAGCTACCGATCGTTAAAGCTTTTCTTGAGTTCAAGGCCAAGTTTCCAGACAAGATTGATATTAATGCAGAAGAGAAGTCTCGTCGCTCTCCTTTGCATGCTGCTGTATCTGCTCCAAAGTTCTCTAAGGAGATTGTTGAGCTACTAGTGAAGGAGGAAGAGCTTAAACTGAATATTGAAGCCTACCCATCCAGTCGTTCACATAAATACATTGCTAAGATGCTGGAACGAAAGCGATCGCTCACTGTCTTCCCATCTTCCTCCATCGCCCAAACCTATAGGGCCTACACTTCTTTTGATCAAATTGAATCCGATGACCCACCCTCCTATCGTGACGATCGAGGCTGTGACACGCCCATCAGCACCTCTTCTGCGATATCGGATGATCTTGACGCTGAGATTGGAATCACTAAACGTGAATCACTACCTCACACACCGATCAGCCCACTGATGCAGAGTATGGCATTACCCTCTCCTTCAGCATCCATTCCTCCTCCATCCTCTCAGATACGAATCATTTGCTCTAACAATGGGAGACTCGAGGCCATAGAAGGGAGCGGAGAAAGCCACACCCCTTTTTCTAAGCTTCTTCTAACCCCACTTGCGGAGGCTTGCGTTTTCAATAGTCAGGATATAGTGGAGATATTGATTAATCACGGGGCTAAGGATCTCAATGGGTACGGATGCCAGATAGCTTACCTCATTCACCAGCCTTCACTTGTGAATCTCATACTCTCTTACCAGTGCAAACTCTGTGAACAGATCGAAGATAAGCCACACCCACATCCCCTCTACACTCTCGACTGGAAGGAGAAGCACCTTAGAATTGTGAAAGGGGACTGGTTCTTTTCAGATCTATATTCTCTTGATTTGGATGTATCTCTATTCCTTAATTGTCAGCCAATGACATTCAATAAATTAGAGTCAGCCTCCATTCACATTGTTCACTTGCAAAAGAACTGTCTCCAGACTCTACCGATTGAATTATTTCAGTTGCCAAACGTAGCAGAGATAAACGTGGCAGAGAACAGTCTCACATCACTCCCTGATATTGACTCTGACTCCTGTACTGTCAGTACAGGCACTAATGCTTGGAAATGCTCTCAATTGACTGTACTGATACTCTCAAGCAATAATCTCTCGTGTCTTCCAACTTGCCTTTGGTTCCTGCCTTCCCTTGAGATCCTGAAGGCTAGCATGAATAAGTTAGAGTCCCTGGTTCCGTTACCTGAGGCATTCAACTCATTAATAGACAGAGATGAGTCAATTGTTCTTGCCCCTAATCTAAGAGAGATTGATCTGTCGAGAAATTCACTCAAAGAAATTGACAACTTTGTTTTTGGTTTGTCCGAGCTCTCGAAATTAAACTTGTCCCAGAATGAGCTTCAGTCTCTCCCTGACTCACTCTGGGACTGCATCACTCTCCATCAACTGGATGTCAGCTCTAACTCTCTTTCTTCTCTCCCAAGATGTGGAGGACTGGAGGACATAAGGGAAGCAGCTCTAGCCAAGAGCACTCCTGGCATACTCCACTTGGCAACTGCAAATACCTCGGCTCAGGCTGTCTTTCAGAATGATCTTGACTGTCGTGAAAGCCTTTACCAGGCCTCACATAGACGGAGGAGCAAGTCGTCCAGATCAAGAACAAAAAAGAAAGGCGATGATTTTAAGATCCGCAAACTAAAGGAGGAAGTTGATTCAGGGGAAGGAGGAGACGCTGGTATTGAGATGTGCGATTACTCTGTTCTCACTCGTTTGAATTTATCAAAGAATAGGTTCAAGTCTTTCCCGATTGGTTTGCCCTGCCTGGCACCAAACCTCTTCGAACTTGACATTTCTGATAACAACATTCAAGTCATTGATATTACATTTCTGCCTCAGATCCTCCGCAAGTTATCAGCAAAGAGATGCTCCTTGGAAAAGTTTGGTAACACACTGACTGAGGGCCAACTGAACTCAATGAGAAGGAAGTGTTATTATGAGCGTCAGTCTAATGTCTGTCTTCATTGTTCTCATTCTCAGCTCCAATACTTACAGACGTTCATGCTCGAGGATAACAGGCTAAAAAGGTTTCAGCTATTGAAGGCAGTTCTTAAACGTACGACCAGAGACCCAACGGAGGACGAGCTGGAGTTTCGACAAAATTGCTCGGCCCTCAACCTCCTCTACCCATCATTGGAGGGCCTTGATCTGACCAGTAACTGCCTCGTTGGTACCTTTAATCCTAACATTGGGCGACAGACCCAGTTGAAGTGGCTGTGGTTGAGTCAAAACAAGGAGCTCGAGAAGTTGCCGCTTCATTTGGCTGATCTAAAGAACTTTCGGCGCTTGACGGAGATCAAGTTAAGGAACCTTCCTAGCCTGGTGGAGCCTCCGAAGGAGTATCAGAATGAGTCAGTGCAGGCCAGCCAGTTGTTGACCTACATGAGGTCAAGACTGAAAGAGTGAGTTGTAAAAGAATAGCAACGAGTTGTTTACTTGTGTGTGTATGTAACTGTTTATTCTCTCTAAAGCCCACAATGTACTGTGTACATGTATCATTTACTAGTACAACCTCATGTAGTATTTACTGATAATTTTAATATACATGTACACATAGTCACGTACATACATGTACATGTAGATAGTAATGTCACACAATTTATTTATTTAGTCACGTACACAGACACAATTTATTGTGCCAAACAAATATTTTACATGTAGCTGTTTTTCTGTGACTTTCATTATTTCTTTCCCCTAGTTCTGTTCCTTATCGTACATTAAAGCTATTTTTCATTGGGTGTGGGCAGAGGGGCAAGACTACACTACTGAGGCGCCTCAGGGAGCGTCAAGCTGGTGAAACAGAGAGAACCGAAGGCATTGATATAGAGGAGTGGTCCTGTAGAGGAGCTAAGAGGAGACTCTTCCGAGCCCCACAAGAACCGATCCAGTTCTTAGCCTGGGACTTTGCTGGTCAAGAGGTGTATCAAGTGACTCATCAGTGCTTCTACTCAAGGAGGGCAATATACCTGGCACTGTTTAGGATGATTGATGGAGAGGAGGGCATTAATGAACTGGAGCCATGGCTCAGAAACGTCCAGGTATGCATTGTACATGTACATATATTATGCATTTATGTGCTACATGTATTTGCATGTATCATTTAATTTGTGCAGTTTTGCCGAAAATGACTTGGAGAGAATTCTCCCATTATTTTTTATAATTTTGCTGATACATACATGCGTATGTACATGTAAGTACTTATGTTGTGTAGAAAGTTTGACTAATTGGATTTTTACAAATTTTTAAAGTTACTCAAAAATTGGACCAAAGTCCCTGTACAGGTACAGGGTCTTTGGCGAAAATTTCACCAAAAAATGACTAGGAGAAAATTCTCCATTTTTATAATTTTCTCTAATACTGCATATACATGTTCTTATGTTGTGTAGTAAGTTTGAGCTGATTCTGATCAAATTTGGTTTTTTTATGAATTTTTAAAGTTGCTCCAAATGCCATATACTGTATTGCAGTACTTGTCAGCTCATGAAGCTTATGCTGTTTACCTCATTGAGCATGTTTTGTGGTGAAATCCCCTGTTTGTTTGTTATTCTCCAGATGTATGTTTACTTTATCTACATTCTTACAGTGTTTCATTCTACTTGTATCTCATAAGTCACTTTTTTCTTTCTTTCTTCTTTTCTACCTACACACTCACAGCTCAGAGCAGAAGGTTGTATTGTCATCATAGTTGGGACGTATCTCGATAAAGTGTCTGACTCAAAGGTTGCTGAAATAGACAAGATTATCAAACAAAAGTTTTTCACCAAAAGCAGCAACATATACCCTAAGATAATCAGCTACATCAGCGTGAGCTGTGTCAGCAAGTTTGGAAATAACATGGACAAACTGAGACAGTTGATATATGATGTGTCGGTTCACTTGAAAGTTAGCCCCAGGGATGGAATAACACGTAAGGACACACCCATTTAATTATATTTTTTAATTTACTGTTTACATAAAACCTGAAACATTCCTATGCTACAGTATTAGTGCATATTTCCAATCCTTTTTTGTCATGCCTGTACCGTGGCGAACTCCATGATTGTATCAGGACTGATTGCCCAAAATCCATGGTCCATATCAGGACTGATTCAGACTGACCCAATCCTGATCCATGTGCCAACTCTTGGCTGTGTACAAGTATTGTACTCATAACAGTCTATGTGTGCATTTACTAAGATACATGTAAATGCATTACAGTTTTGATATTGTTTCCCATCGTTTTTATGCTGGACTTTTATCTACATTCTTTATAGTTGTGCATGATCCAAAACTCTCATTAAGCAGTTCCTATGCGCTCCTCAATCAGCAGATCCCAAGGAACTTCCTAGAGCTCCAAGAGAGAGTCTCTGATCTTGTCAAGGATCTCAATGAATCACAGAAGCCTCCTTATCTCAGCCATGAAGAGTTTAGCTCTCGTTTCTTGTCTATTTTTGAAGGTGACGAAGAAGAAATGAATGAAGCAGTCAATTACCTAACATTGCAAGGTTTGTGAAATTTATGTATAAATATTTTGACTCTGTTTGCATGTATACATGTACATGTACATGTACATGTAGTTGTACATGTATGTACACATGTATTTACACGTGTACCTGTATATTCTTTTCCTCTCTTGTTCAGGAACATTGCTTCATTTTGATGATTACGGTCTGAGGGATTTGTATTTCCTTGATCCTCAGTGGCTAGCTAAACTAATGGCCAGACTCATCAGTCCCAATTCAGCAAAGAACATGTCCCTAGTTGATGGTAAGAGAACAAGAGAGAGAGAGAGAGAGAGGAAAGAGATAGAGAAAGATCAAATGATAATTGTATTACCGGTATTGTTTTTATTGTTCAATCATAAACTGGTCAGTTGACACATGAGAAACATAACTCCTTTCTATATTGTTCCATCAATCTTTGAACCTCCTTAAAGCAGATAAAATGGCTTCAGATTTGGCATCTAGATGTACAGTATGAGGCCAGCTTCAAAGTGATTACCTCTTTGGACACCTAAAATATGGAGAATTTCTTTTTTTAATTTTTAATTAGGAAAATACTTCAAGTGACAATTTTTCTTTCTATTGTTATTATTCTCTTTTTGTTTTATAATTATAGGAAAGATACTTCTTTCCAGTCTCTTTGAGCAGGACCTGTTCCTCAGTGAGCACAGAGCCATTGCCAGCAAATACCTGCAGCTCCTTCAGAAATTTGAAGTTGCTCTTTGCATCGGTGACAAGGAGGTCATAATACCCTCCCTCTTCCCTGAATCACAGTCTTACCCTAAACCTAATGACAGCCTAAAAGACGTTACCTTCACTGCTGGAGTGGAACTCAATTACCTTCCTCCAATCAGGAGGATCTGGTTCTCTAATTACATTCCTGACGGGTTCTGGCCACGCCTCATCTGTCGCCTTCTCAATGACCAACTCATAAAATCAATTCTCAGTAATTATTACGATAGTGTGGAAAATAGCGACGAATCTGTTGTCAAATCTGATTGGACGTGTTGGAAGAGTGGCCTCGTGTACGTATCAAGAGGGCGGACCCTTTTATTAGTGAGGCACATACCCAACCCACCAACCTCATGGGGCCCTACTCCGGAGTCCAGCCTTAAAGCCGTGAATTCAAAATGGAGGATAGAGATACACATATACGTACCAGAAATGATCAGCGTCTTGCAAGAGATCAGGTCAAGAGTTGAGTGTTTTGATCAATTGGAAGAAACTGATAAACTGCAAGCACCTTATAAGGTCGCCGGGCAAGCCACGCAACTGATGGTTGCTATTAGCAATCACATATCGTTCCTGTCGTCATGGTTTCAAGGCATGCTCGAGCAAAATGAGAGAGGTCATGTTGACTATGTTCCTTGCTGGAAATGCTATGGAGGATTGGAGTGGATTGGGAATCCTCCAAGTGATACTTTACTGATTGACGTGGAGGGATCTTTTTGTGTATGTCTCCCTTTTGCCAACTGTATTATACCCTCTTCTCATAATGATGATCTTTCGTGCCCAGTACACGGTGCCCTTAAAGTTGTTCAAACTGTCCCTGATCTGGTAAGCCCTCCATGTGTCTCTATTCTTTATATACCTTTATATTTATTTCTTTAGTCATTTTCTGATCTAGTGGCTACTAATGAGGACATGGATAAGCCGAGGACACTGCGTATACTTGAAAAGGAAGTTCTTGGTAAAGGAGGCTATGGGTTTGTGTGTACAGGAGAACTAAAGGGACCCACCGGCTCTCCGGTAAGTTATTCACTGACCTTTTAACAAAAATGACTACCTGTACATGTCATGTGCATGCATATTTTCTACTTATTAATGATGTACGTGTACATGCACAACAGTACATCTAGACCAATTTTTTCACTAATAATTTTTTTTGAGTTATAGCAGTATGAAATACATGTAGTATAAATCCTACCTATTCTCTCTTTCTAGCCTGAATTGGTAGCAGTCAAAGTGTTTTTGACTAACCTGGAGGGTAAGATTGACTCTCTTTCTTCTGCTGAGTTACTTGAAGAAGCTGCCAAAGACTCCCAGCTACGCAGTGCATACAAAGAGATAAGACAAGAGGTACAAATGGCTCGTGTGATATAAATTATTTATAACACACTAACTTCCCTTCTATAACTTTTAATTATCTCTCTCTCTTCCTACATACAAATCTGCATGTACTTTGTAGGTTAATTTTCTCTCAACTTTGAAGCATCAGAACATCACAAAGCTGATTGGTGTAAGGACTAAGCCTGTCTATTGCTTACTTCTGGAGCTGGCACCTATGAAATCACTGAGGAGCATGCTAAAGGACTATCAACTCTGCAAGCTAACAATGGAACCAATAACACTCAAACAGTGTGCAAAACAAGTATGAGTAATTATACAAGTACATATTCTAATTTACAATGTATATTTTTATATCAGATTATATACTTTTTCTCTTGGCCCCTTACATGTACTGTACATGTATGTACACATACATGTACATGTACTTGTACATATAATGTGTCTGTGTGTGCCTATTTTATTTCTCTTGTTTTCCTTTTCTATCCTCCACTTTCTCTCTCTCCCTCTATATCCACAGATATCTGATGGACTCAATTACCTCCACACTCATCAAATTGTTCATTTGGACATGAAGTCCCCAAACGTCCTCGTCTGGGAGTTCCCCATAGCCGGTATGCCACGCAAGGAAAGACTAAAGTACGCTGGTAATGTCTGGCTAAAGATAGCAGACTATGGGATCAGTCAAGTGGCCACCTCAATGATGATGAAAGTAACTACCAATCAACCGGGGACCCCTGGGTACATGGCCCCTGAGCTTTTTGAAACTGGACAAGAAATATACTCAACCAAAGTAAGGAGAGAGAGAGAGAGAGAGGAACGCAAGGAAGATTGATAAGGGAGAAAGAATTACAATAGCTTACATGTAATTGGGAGATTCTTGAATCTTTACAAATGTACATTGTACATGTACTACATTGTATAAAACCTATTCTCATAGATCAAAGCTATTTAATAGAGAGGCTAGGGATTGTTTTGATTGGTTCTATTTCTGTGTACATTGTAGGTTGATGTGTTTGCTTATGGTATGACATTGTACGAGATAATATCACTTCAAGCTCCTTTTCAAAAACAAGAGGCTATGAAGCGAAATGCTGAAGTGAGGGCTGGAAAAAGACCACCAACTGGAAACAAAGTAACAAAAAACTAAAGTACATGTACACTGTATACATATCTATAGTACTAGACACTGTATTAACATATATTATGTCCATACTTTCTATTGTACTGTAATAATGATAATAATGATCCTTTATGATTATCTTTTCTTTCTCCTCCTCAGGAGAAGCACACTCCCCTTCTATTGCAGGATCTCATGAGGCTCTGCTGGAGCAAGGACCCGTCCGCCCGTCCCAAAATGAAGGAATGTCTCCAGTGGACATCAACCGCTGAATTTGAGCGTCTCAGAGCCCAGCTAACCCTCGGGAGCTGCACAGCAATATCTTGTGCCTGTGTCAGTCGTATTGAACCAAAATACGAGAGTGAATGGATTGAACCAGCTGATACAGTTAAATCAGAGAACAGTCTCCCTACAGTGATGAATGGGACTTTACTGACAAGGGAAGAGATTGAGCGGTTTGGATTGGATGTGGACATTTTACTTGCGTCTCAGGACTGTCTCGAGATAGAGGAGTCCATTATAAAGACTAAAGAAGTCGTCGTGAGTGATGATCCTGGTTCGGACGAAGAGAGAGGATTAGAGAACCTTTCAACTGAAGAGAAGAAGAAAGAGACAGAGGATGACAGAGTGATGAAGAAAAGTGATAAATTAGCTTCCTCGTCTTCATTGGTGGAGACTAAAGCTTTGACAAAGGAGTTATTGGGGAAGGAGGACAAGGCGAAGCGTCATGGGGAGGAACAAGCTTATTCACAGATATGGATGTGTGGCAGAGATCAAAAGAAAGGTCTACTGTCTGTTTTTATATTCCCTGACCGTCAGAAGACGTCTTCAGTAAGTTTATTTCTTAAGCTACTCAAAAATCTGGCCAAAGTCTAGTACCAGATAGTTTGTCAAAAATGGCTAGGGTAGAATTCATCATTTATAATAATTTCTTCTGATGCATATACTTGTACATGTACATGTACTTGTGTATCAATTATGAATCGAATTTGGATTTTTTACAATTTTTTGATTTGCTACAAAATTGTCCTGTACTACATGTACATGTATATACATTGTACATGTAGTACATGGTATTTTGTGTATCTGCAATGTATTTTGAGCTGATTCCTATCAAAATTTAATTGCTTGAAATTTTAAAGTTGCTTCTTTTTTAAAATACACTCACAGTAGTAATATTAATAGCATTTCATTTGTAAATATAATTTTGCTTTTTCTTTCATTGCTTTGATATGATTTATCAAAACTTTTTTAATGCTACATGTACATGCATAATCTTTTCCTCTCTCCTCCATTACACAGAGATTCTTTGGTTATATTGGTAAGGAAGAGATCCAGGCCCTCTGTCCTGTACGTAATGCAATGTGGGTAGGGACATCCCTCGGGAACCTCAGGGTGATCCATGCTCCATCTCTAGCAGTCAAATTCTCCGGTAATCTCTCCTCTGACGATCAGTCGTCGGCCATTTTAAAAATCCTCCACATTGAGGAGAAGAATTGTATCCTTGTCAGCTCCACTTGTTCTGAGGTTTGGTGTCTGCACGATAAGCTCATTGGTAAACCCTACAGCATTGTAAAGGAGCAGCGTATACAAACCAATGAGAGAGAGGGCAGTGGGCCTGTGTACGATCTAGTAAAGGTTGTCATTGATGGTCAGTTACAGGTTTGGGGAACTATGGATAATAACACCATCATTCTGTTTGAGAAGAAAGAAGGAGCCTGGCAGACGAGTTACTATGATGTTATTCCCTATAGCCACCACATGAAGGTTTGCTCTCATATCGTTTGGTGCAGTTTTGAGGAGGAGGGAACCCAGTGTGACTACTTGTGGGTATCTTATCGAAGCAAGGCCGGGATTGTTTGCTTTGATGCTAGGACCAGAACACAAAGAGGACACATTAATTGCTCTGATAGGATTAAAGGAAAAGATGGTGAGAAGAGAGAGAGAGGGGGAGGGAGGGAGAAAGAGAAATAAGAGACTACTAGTGTAGGATGTGTTTTCAATAAAGGGAAATCTGTTTTCTTTTTTTAATTTTTTAGATTTTGACACGTCACATCAAGTCATTTCACTACTTGCTCAAGGACGCAGGCTATACGTTGGTACTCTAAGTGGTATTGTAGCCGTGTTTGACTCGGAGTCCTTGGGACTTATTGCAAGCTTTAACTGGCACACTGGGAAGGTACGGACTCTTCTCTTGCTACCCGAGCAAGTGAAGGCATGTGTCTGTGCCGAAGTACCTTTTGATGATGGAGAGGCCACGGCAACAGAGAAAGTATTCAAATCGAATTCTAACTGGACTAATAATCCGTGCTACTTGAACAACACCCTCACTGATCACTCGCTAGTTGCTAGTATTGGTAATGGCAGACTCCAGTTCATGACAGAGAGTAAGACTGGGCCTACCAGAGGAGACAGGAGCAGTAAAATGGAGAGAAGGAAAACTGGCATGTTCTCCCTATACACTGAAGACATAAATCTATTAATATGGCATAGTTAAGATAAGATTATTAACAGAATATTAATTTTATACTTATATATTGTATCCACGAAATATACATGTGTACTGTCCCTAGTATAATTATTATTTCTATTCTGGTTATTTTACGTTGATATTATTATTATCTTTAATTTTTGTATTTCAATATAATTAATTAACCATCATTATTTTAGTGTGCATGTCTATTGTATGTTATTATTTTTATATGAGAAATCGACTGTCAATAAGTGTCTTCTTGCCCAAGTTTCTCTTCCCTAGTCCGTCCCTTATAAGTGATACCACCTGAGAGAGGGAGAGAGATAAAGAAAGAGAGAGAGAAAGAGAGAGGGAGAAAGGAGAGGTGAAGAGAGATCAATCAATTGTAATTCCTTACCTTTGACAATGTGAAAGTGACAATGGCTGCTAGTGTGTAATTGTGCGAGAGAAGATCAACCAACAAAAACACGAGCAACTCAAATGAGAGGAGCTCCCATTCATGATTGTAGAACAGCACATCAGAGAATGAAAGACCAGAATCTGTGCAATACATGATAGTTTTAAAGGATCAATAGTTCATTACTTGTATAGAATATGCTCCTATCCACTGCATCATTGAACTCCATTCCCAGTACTTTCTCCAAGAGCCATTTCTTCCTGAATACATAATCAGTGCTTGGTAGATTCTAACATAAAGGAACACATCAGTTTATATTAATGGAGTTAGTTATGTACATGGTCAATGAATGAGGATAGGAATGTTGTCATTTCTTCATGTGCTTTTATTGATGCTTCAGATATTGCTAAATATAATGGAGAACAAGATCAATATACTTGTCATTAATTTAAATGTACAGACCTGCACTGTTTGATTGGTTCTCAATCCTCTAAGGAAAATAATGATAAATCTTTGATCTCAATTTTTTTAAATTACAATTTATATAACCAATTTACAATGTACACCTCAATGTGAAACTGATTGTGCAATTCAACATACATATATTTATTACAAGTAAATAATAATAGCCACAGAGACAATACAATTCATTCAAGATTACACTACCAGATTATACTCTACCTCTGCTTCAAGTTGAGAGAGTATTTTATAGAACTGCTTGTGGAATGACTGACTGATTGATATTTCAAAGGTCTGTTCATCAGTGTCAGGCAACAACCCACGTTTACTACACATATCCACCTATGATTCATAACAGAATGTAAATTACAAAAAAACAATGTAGTCATGAGTGAAGTGCAGTATTACTGCAGTTACAAACCTTTTCCTTGATGAGGTTTTCGTTCATTTCTTTCATGTTGGTATCAGCTTTCCCGTGAACAGAGCGACCATGAATATAATGACCGTACAAAGACTCAGAGAGAATAAAGATACTGATCTACATGAGGAATGAATCAGTCATACAGAGATTATTGGGTGCCATACGTTGCTGATGGAGCAAAGGTCCACTAGTTGAAGGAGTTTGTTCTCAATGTATCTTTCATGAATCATTAGTGTGTACATTCTCTGTTTATGAAAAAAAAATACAAAAATTAACGAGAGAACTTTGTATTGTGATGCACACAAGGTTTCCCACCAAGCATACTAAGTGAGCTAAAAGGCTTGTTTCATGAGCTGACAAGCCCTACAATAGTACACATACATGCTTTGGGGCAAGTTAAAAAATTTATAAAAAAAATTGATCAGAAATAGCTCAAATTTGCTACATAATAAAGTACATGTGTATGCAACAAAAATTATAACAATTGAAAATTCTCTCCTTTTCCTTTTTGGTAAAATTCAACCAAAAACCCTGTACTACATACAGCAATTTTAGCCTGATTTTTGAGCAACTTAAAAAATTTGTAAAAAATAAAAATTAATCGAAATCAGTTTAAATTTTTTACAAAACATAATTACATGTATATGTATCAGGAAAAATTATAAAATGGAGAATTCTCTTTTTTTATTTTTGGCAAAATTTGGCAAAAAGACCCTGTACTATTATTTAAAAATTTTCAAAGAAAGGTTGAGTAGGATTTACTTTGTGTCAATTTGTCAAAAAATAATGGAAACAAGGACAAGTAGGATTCCAAATTACCAACAAAAATACCAAATAAAAATCCTACTCTCGTGATGCAAATTTTACAAGGTGATCTATAATTTCTCACATAATAACGTTGAAAGTACAATGTAGAGTAGAATTTGCATCACAAAATTAGGATTTTCATTTTGTATTTTTGTTAGTCATTTGAAATCCTACTTCTCCTTGTTTCCATTACTTTTTTGATGAATTAGCACAAAGTGAATCCCACTTAATCTTTTTAAAAAATTTTTAGTACAGTGTCTTTGGCCTGATTTTGGGGCAAACTTTTAAAAAAATCCAAATTTGATCAGAATCAGCTCAAAATATGGGTACATATATTATGAAAGGGGAAGCAGGAGTCCTTGTGATCCAAGCCAAAGCATTAGAGTATTACTCCTGTTATCATTGTGCTTTTTACTAATAGACAATGTAGGTATAATTATTATTAATATTGTGAAATTTCTTTAACTCAATATTATTGTCGTTATTATTATTATTATTACTATTATTACTATTATTATCATTATTAATTATACTTTGCACTTCAATTTATTGATCACAGCTTTTGCCAAAAGAATATAGTGATGGTAGTATTTCCTACAATATGTTTCTGGTGTTTATTTAGCAGTTGATGATGTCATAAATTCATTCAGTTGTAAGGAAAGTATAGTTTGTTAGTAATCAGTGGCAGATCTGGGGGTGGGCAAAGCAGGGCATTTGCCCTACCTCACTAATTATATTCATTGCTAGATAATTATATTCATTGTTTAGGTAATAATATTCATGTAAAGTACTGTCTCATTGTACTACCATATAGTTCCAAATTTTCATTGGTCAAAATTTTTGTCAAATTTATCAGGTACTTTTGCTTGACAAAATTTTTAACCGACAAAATTTTTGTTCCATGTGAGTAGTATGTGGATTAATAACAAAATGACAAAAATTTTATTAACGAAAATTAATTTTAACAAGAAATTAAGATTTTGACGAAATTTTTGACTGACGAAAATTTGGAGCTATAGGGTGTACATTTAGTGAAACCTCAATCCATGCCCATATTTACCCAGTTGTGACAACTAACCACAAGCACTGGAAGAGCTTACTTGTTGCACATTGATAGCCAAGATTAATAACTATAATAACTATTAATAAACCACACCTACTCCTGAATTTGATTAATGTCCTACCATCATTTTGACCCCAGATCCGCCCATGTTAGCAATGATGAAAGAAGCAGTGCTAGTCTCTGTTTTATGTGTTCTGTCACTATCAGTTGCTCAGGGCTGTCCTCTACCAACAATAGCTGAAATAGAGGCTGCATTGCTTCCTTTACTATTCTTTTCTGATGATAGCCAGGAGTACTCTCCTAATGTAGCTGAAGGATCAGTTCAATATGTCTGTCTAGCTCAAGGGAGCATGATTGATACTTATAATGGAGTTTCTCTTATAGCTACATTCACTCCTAACCCAGAACATCCTAAAACCATCAGGATATTTGATATGGAGTGTAACAGTGGTACATGGAGTGGAAGGACTGGTAGTTTAGATCCTCCTCCTGCCAGTGTTGTTGGTGCTCCTGCAAGAACTAATTGTTATCGGTGTAGGGAAGGTTTTGGTGGTGATACTAGATGTAGAGGTAAGCAAATTGTAATAATAACTAGGCGAATGTAAACCATTGAGGGGCGAGCAAAACGATTAAAATCTTGATTTTCGATTAGCAATGTACAATGTCTATATACCGTATTTCCTTAAATAAAAGCCCGGGCGTCTATTTCCTAAAATGGTATTTGGATCTCGAAAAAATATATAAAAAAATAAAAAACGTCAGCCCAAAGCGGGATTCGAACCCGTAACCTGATGCTTTTGACTTCTGAAACTTCAGGCATTATCCACTAGACTACTGAGTCACTCCTAGGCTAGTGTTGCGTATTTATAGTTTAATTTTATTGCTACCCCGGCGTTTATTCGAATGCGGCTTCTATTTAAGGATTTACGGTAGATTGATGTAGTCACATATTAAGACTAAATAAATGTTGATGTCAATATACTGATGCAGAGCATTGCAGAACTTTCATCAGTGGAAGGTAATTTCATACTATGAGCTTGCTCTTCAAGCTTCATGAGTTAAGAATTTCTGCAGATATAAATAGCAGTCACTGTCTCACAACTTGATCTTCTTTCTGATGGATAAGGATCATAAGCTGTGATTCAACAATGATTACAGACCTTGATGATTATATAGCTACTTTGTCATCTTTCTTGCTGCTAGAGAAGTGTCTGGATAACAGATGAGTCTCATCCTGCTGCAAGTAAGCTGGAGAATTGCTCCCGTTTCATAGCCTTTATTGGGCGAAGCCCTTACTTACAAGAACTTGAACGTACGTCTGGGCGTGACTGGGAGGTGTGGTCTGGAGACGGAGCCCCTCAATGTTTTACATTCTTTCTAGTAGTCGCCATTTTGTTGCAACCACACCCACATCAATGAAAATATTTCATCAGAATACTACCGCATTAGATTATTGACATTTAAATAGATAGTAGTGCACACGTTGGGTGTGACCAGAATAGGCGTGACTGAAGACGTACGTACATACATACATACAGAAGAGTCTCGCTTAAGTGGGGCTCGCTTTTGCTCGCCCCAATAACAATAATAATTATTATTATTATTACTATAATTGTCAGAATGGCTAAGGCCATGAAGTGGCTGCAAGCTATTCTAGATTATATGAAGAAGGTGAAGTCAATCATATCAACTGTGTTTGGCCAGTTTTCTTAACTTACAGCTAATTTGTAGTTAAATAACTAATTGTAATAACTTTTGGTCCGCCCATCCGCCCACTCGCCTCACTATATAAGCCCCAGCTTCAGCCATCTTCCTCGGCTTTTGATTAGCTCCTCCTCTTCCATTGGGAGGGTGAGTGTGGATAGTTGATATGATTGACTTCACCTTCTTCATATAATCTAGAATAGCTTGCAGCCACTTCGTGGCCTTAGCCATTCTGACAATTATATTTCAGAAGACTCAGTCTCACATATCAACTGTGTTGTTTGTAGCTTCTTCCAAGCTATTCTGGTTAATAAGTAATGGCGGCTATTCCATTGGCTGCTGTTGTCTCAATTGTGTTTGTATTGATAGTGTGTTGTTAAAAAATTAGCGACCTCACTTACAGGTCCTGAAAAGGGATTGGAACCCCGTTTAGTATACCAGTGATTCCATCGCCCAAATGATGAGTCATATGACTTGATTGTCTTTGTCCTCCATGAACTGAGGATGAGGTCTGTAGCTTGGCTTGAAAGACCTTGTTCATTGAGTCTTTCCCTGAGATGCTCCACACGGTTAGTTGGGGCATTATTGGAACTGACTCTGTTGTCATGTCCTACTTGGGTAGCAGGCAATGCCAGTAGGAGAGAGTACTATGGCTGAGATTTCCTACTGGGGCTACCAGAATCACTTCTGCCCCTTGAGTCTGTGCTTTCGTTAGCACCCTCTGTACCAGGTTCCAAGGTGGGTTGGCAAAGCCTTTCACTGTTGTCCAATCCTTGAGAAAGGCATCTGTTGCTTCTGCAAATGGATCTGGCCGCCAACTGAAATAGCGACAGCACTGATCGGTTAACCTGGATGCAAACAGGTCCACTTCCATTGGACCATAGATCTTGTTGATCTTCAGAAAGACAGAATGATCCAGTTTCCAATCTGATCGATCCTTCATAGATCTCGATTCCATGTCTGCCACCTGGTTCATTACTCCAGGTAGGTATTGTGCTTGGATGTGAATTGTGCTTGGATGCGGATATTCCTCTCCAGGTACCACATCCATAGATCTCTGGTTAGGACTATCAATTCTTAAGATACAGTCCCCCCTTGGTTGTTGATATAGGCAACTGCTGTTGTGTTGTCTATCTTCAGCAATATTGATAATCCATTCGTGTTCTTCACAAAAGTTTTTAGTGCTAGAGTCACTGCTAGCAATTCTAGGCAACTGATGTGCCAAGTCTTCTCCAGAGGAGACCAAGGTCTCCCTGTGCTGGTTCTTTGGCAGGACGCTCCCCATCCCTGGGATGAGGCCCCTCTATGATCAGATCTGGCTCCGTTGCCAACACTGTCTTGCCATTCCATTTTATCATTTGGGTGTCCCACCAAATCAGTTCCTCCCGGCTGTCGGGGGATAGAGTGAGCTCTGCTTCGTAATCCTGACTAGCATCCCTTAGAGCCTCTGTCAGGTCCATTTGTAGGCTCCTGTAAAACAGTGGAGCTGGTGGGATCACTTGGTTTGTGGCATTCATCTTCCCAATTAATCTTGAGAGGGTGCAAGCTGTTACAAGCTCCGCCTCTAATAACTGTTGGGACTCCACCAGAATCTTTTTTATTTTTTGAGCTGGGAGGCTCAATTCCATCTTGGTAGTATCTATCATGAAACCCAGGAATTCTAGGCATTGG